AAGACTCTAATTGGCATTTAACAGGTCTTTCGTTTAAAAATGAGATTCTCTATCGGTGAACATCTAAAATCCAAACAGGGCTCAAACTTAGAAGCGTAAATATTTACCAAAATGAATTGTATTTTAGAACTCGATATCAAGAATCACTAGTAAATTATTCAAACTTCACTTACTTTACAATATATTGTGATACCATCCAATCCCATCAGTAGATAACTGCCTTGCTTTAGATAAAGCTAAAATCGACGTGCGATATCTTAGCAAGAAATGAGAATGTTTGGCAAATAAAATCATCTCATGGGTAATAATGGCTGATAACTGAAAAATAGGAGTTGAAATAAATTGTGTCCACTACTGAAGAGCAGACAGTGTGAACGACAACTGGAATCATGTCTTAATAACGGTAGCTAAGGATAGAGTTTAAAATGACTGAAACTTATTTTCAACATAACAAACAGTTAATTATTAATGGAATCGAAATTCACCGAACAATAAAGTGTCAAGTTAATTTCCTCGTCATCACTGTCATTCAAAAGCAATGTACTTTTAAGCCTCTATATTTATACTATCCTGAGATTGCTTTATATAATACACATTGATAAAATCATTTTTTTGTAAGCTTGAATTTGACGGTTAATTCATAGTAATCGACTCTGTGGTGAAAGGTTGGTATATGAACAAGGAAAATATTTTTCGATAAATTCTCTTCAGCTGTGACAGGTGTATATCCATATTAAGGATTCAAAAATTGACAAGGTTTGAGACAAATACGTAGTTAAGAAGTATCGCACATGCATTTGGAATTGCCAGTAAAATAAAATGAAATTGTTATTACACAGTGAAATCATTAGTCAGTCTTTGTAAGAACTCCATTAGAAACCTGCAAGTACTGGACGGCCGTTTCGTCTGGTACTGGACCCGTCAGCAGTGCGCATCGACGAACCTAGGACCCTCGGTCTTGCGCGTGAACGCTTAACCTTTGGACCACTGGGCCAGCATCCATGGGTGTCAAGGTCTAACTCTGATCAATGTAGAGATTTTGCGTGACCTCACCCATTTGTGTTTGGTAGTTATTGCTTAAACGTGATAGGTTTGAACTAGTCACATCTTCATAAAATGTGCTCACTATTGACTAGCTTCGTGAGGAACTTCTCAGAGTTCTGGAGAGAAGCTAAGACCAGTGGGATTTAAATATGTCGGTTGTGAGACACTTATTTATTTTAAGCAAGGTATGTGGGTTACGAAATATCTCAGGCTGAATGGAATTAGAAACGTTCACCGTTGGATGCCAGCCAAACTGTTTAGGAGTTAGGCGTTCACACGCGAGACCAAAGGTTGTGGGCTTGACTCTCAGAAGTGAGATCGTGAATATGCAGTGCAGGTGAGCTTCATACTAGGAAGAAGCGCCGTTTAGTGCTTTTAGGTTTTAAATGGTAGTCTAGCTAATATCATTTGATGACTTAAACTTTTAAAAATAGCAATAGTAATAATAGGAAAATTTATAAATAAAATAACAGAGACAACAATATTTAAAAAAAAAAGTTTGGGTATGTATTTCCCAAATGATATTACTCTATCATTAAAATTAGTGTTTTTGGCTATAATTATAAACGAGGTTTATGTCCTGAACCTGACTATGTTTCGAATTATTAATTTAGATCTATAGCTGTCAAACCTGAAGAGAATTTACCGATGTAAATAGTATAATTATCCGTTGGATTGGTAAAATCATTCGAAAACTCTTAACAATATTGTCGTTTAAATTTAATTTTGGAAAAAGCGAAGAAATAACATGGAACTAAGTATAACATGAAGTTTTAAAAAACTGCACTGTCGACAAAGCATGAGTATAAGGAAAATCTAATGATACGCTTATCACCATCTTTTTTTGAACAAAGAGAGTAGGTGTTATGTGAAATATTATCATGTTATTCTATTTAGCTTGAATATGACCGATTAAATGAGTATGAATCCCTCTTAAATGTTTAATTATCATGAAAATTTACTAACAGATTGACGATACTGTTCTGTTTTCGACTATCTATTAAGCATTCTTATGTATGACTACCGTACTTGTAAAAAAATTCTCTTACTATTTCGAAAGGTGTATTTTCAGGCAGATTTTTGGAGGTTTGTGTTTTTACACATTTGAAATCATCAATCAATCATTGTTCAACCTTGTCGGGTGTAGGGAGTAACTGCCAAAGACAAATGGATGAAGTCGCGCGAAAATCCGTAGATCAACCAGAGTTAGACATCAACACCGTTGGATGCCGGTCCAGTGGTCCAGAGGTTAGGCGTTCGCGCACAATACCGAAGGTCCTGGGTTCGAATCATGCGAGATGCAGGAGTCGTGGATGCGCACTGTTGATGAGTTCCATATCAGGACGAAACGGCCATCCAGTGCTTCCAAGTTTCTAATGGTGGTCTAACAATGACTGATTGATGATTTCATATGTGTAAATGTGTATTTATTTTTTTAGTTCAGCTAGGTTATCAATATTTAGTGATATTTAATATTTTTTATCTTATTACTTGAATAGTATCCATTGTTCTTAAATCTGTCCTGAGATATTCCTCATTGAATTCCGCTTCGTAATCTAAGTATATGAGTTAGTTTACAGAACGTATTTCAACCATTCATCATATCGCTGTTTTATTAATTGATTTAAGAAGAGATCAACAAATGATCAGATTGTAAAATTATTTACAAAGTTTACGGTCTTACCAGCAACAACATTTAACCAGTATGTAAGTTGTATTCATTATAACTTTAGCTACAAATTGAAAAACTAATTGAATTCTACCCAAAGAACAAATGAGACCAGTTCATGTATGATCTAAAATCGAGCGATTGTTAACAAAACTATTCGATAATTTACTGAGAAACTGAAAGCTTAATAATGCAGAATATACACACAAAAAGGGTATAAAAATATGATATTCATAATTCGAACTTTTTGGGAATTTTTTGTTTATTGGACTGATCGTTACCATTGAGCAGTTCAATTTTTAAATCTTTTCCAGCTACCGAAAAGGTCGATGTCTGTTAGCTGATTATATGAATCCTTATAGTCTCTAATCTTAATCTTATCTGATTTACAATTTTTCAATAGGTGAACCATTTGTTTGATGGGTAGTTGACTGGTTTGATAATGAGATACAAACTCTTCATCAAACTCATTGGATTGAGAAAGTACAATCTCACAAAATGATCAAAATCGGTTATGTGGACAATGTAAATCATATTCAATGTCAGTTGATAGACACATCGATGTAAATTTAAATTATCAACTCAGATGGAAGAGGTAACTTAGTCTTAAGACGAGAAGTCAATTGAAAACGATAATCAACATGAATTTAAGAACAAATGAACATAACAAAACCTACAAACATAACTAATGACCAATAACGCTATCATCAGAATGAACTGACACAACACTCGTGGAATTACTGAAATGTTTAATTCTGTATGAAACCAATGTTAAGTGTTAAATACTACAATGAAAGATCCGAAATTGAACTTTTAAATGCAAAGAACAGGAAACTACCAAAATAATATCATTTTCTTTCAAGATCACAGACTCCCACTGCTGTTATCTGAGATGAAATTATTAACTAAAGTATTTTTTTGACTTCTGTTAGTTTTTTTACCTGATAACAGTTTTCAATATAAACAACTACTGAGAGAATTGAGTTTACACATTTTTCACATAATCACTTTTGATAAATAATAATTTTATATAAATATTTTTTGAAACTATGAATCGATCAATGTTAGACCACCATTAGTCCTGGTATGGGACTCATCAGCAGTGCGCATCCACGACTCCGGCACCTCGCAGGATTCGAACCCGGGACCTTCGGTATTGTGCGCGAACGCCTAACCATCGGACCACTGGGCCGGCATCTAGTGGTGTTAATGTCTAACTTGATCAATTCACAGAGTTGCGCAACCTCATACACAGTCTTCGGTAGTTACTGTCTACACCCGAACAGTTTGAACTTCACTGGTCACGTCTTCCCACTAGAACTCGGAGAAGATTCCTCACGAAGCTAGTCACTAGTGAGCACAGGTAATTGATCGATTCATGGTTTAAAAAAAACTTAACAATCTTCACAACCCCCATAATCCAAATAATTTTATAGCCTTATTCAATTTTTATTAATTAGTAATCGGTTATTAGTTGTCTAAACGATGAAGTTGTACAATATTTATCATTATGACATTTTTTTTTGAAATTTCTTCAAAACAATAAATTTTAATGTCTCTGCGTCAATTCAATAAATCTGAGCTATTCAATGAGAGCAAAAAATTAATGATTTGTTGATAATGCCTACAATAAATCGTACATATTTAAACCTATCGGAAAAACTGTAAGTACAGCCAATGAAATTGATGCATAATTTTTATTTTCTGTCCGTAACACAAAAAATTGAACAATAATATTTAATTTTCTTTACAGATTTTCATTTCATCCTATATAAATGAGTTGGCTAAGCTTTATGATAACTGATGTGTATATATGTGTATGTGTGTGTGTGTGTTGTGCTTATTTGTGTTTTTGTATGCAGTTGTTTATTTTTGTGTATTTGTAACTAAGTAAAAGGGGTTCAATTGTTCTTAGTTCAATATTTCCTTTATTTGATAGATGTAGTAAAAATAAAAATAATACTAGCATGTATGCAAATTTGTCGCAACTTAGTATTTAGTAGTAGGATTGATACAAGGCCTAGACATACATTTTTGGGTATATTCTGTAGATAATCTGTAAATGAAGACATATACATATGAGTGTGTATTGCTCACTTCAATCCCTGTTCGTATGTAATTTTAACTCAAATCATCATTTTGATTAATTTCAAGCGTTTACCAAATAAAATGTTGATTTAAATAATATTTTTAAAAAAACCACGAAATGATTGAAAGAGCAAAATAGACATTCAAATTGTTCATTTTTTATTTTTAGAAAATGTTTATCAATAAAAAAATCTAAACTATGTTAAATATAACAAGTGATAATATTTCTTCATTTTCTATTATGAACAACGATAATAATAATAATAATGATATAAATTTTACTGATAATATGAATGTATACGTCGTATCAACCAATTCTGCAAATAATAGACAATCATGTTCAATATCCGAGTTCAATGACCATTTAACTCAGTCAATGGTCTGTTCAAAAGATAATAATGACATTAACAAGAATAATGACATTGTCAAAGTTTTAACACATCCTTCTTCAAATGTGTCATTGTCATATTCTCACCCATATTATTCACACAATCATCAACATCTTCATTGTAAATCAGAACAACAGGGCTCTAATGATTATGTGACACAAAATCAAATGATTTCCACATTGAATAAGCTTAACTGTTCAACAGAATTAACATTGTCAAATGATCTAGTATCAGCTAGAAAAATATCATCAACAACAACAACAACTAATACTCTGACTACTAATACTGATACTACATCAGAAGTAGAAGTCACTGCAAATACTTTATTACTGCCACAATTTCAAACGACAAGATTAAGTATAAATTATCCTGAATTATCTTTAGATAATTTATCGTCATCAAATAATTTATATGATTTAAAACTAATCAAAACAACCACATTGAATGATTATTTACCTGAAAGAACTGTCGGCATACAGTCAAGTCATTGGTGTTTAGAATCAAACGAATCAAGAAACATGGCTTATAAGCGACAGATAAATAATGAAGGAAATGCTATGGTTGAAAACAGTTATCATCGTGTTGATAAAGTTCGTAGTCATGGAGATGATGGTAATGAAGAAGAAATCTATGGTGAGAGTGAAACAGATTATGAAAATAAGTTTAAAAATTCAAATAAAGCGCCAAATAGTAAATTGTTGCCATTATCAACTGAAGATAAACAACATTTCGTATATGAATCGGAATCATCGTACGATAGTGAGAGTAAGTTTAATCGTAACATTTTTAAATAGAATTATATTTCGGTGTTTTAATACAATAAAAAGAAGTTGTAAATATTCACATAGTAAAAATCTGCTCAATAGCAAGTAGATAAAGTTATCTTGTTCAATATACAAGATTCAAATGTAAGAGTCACTATACACAGTATTAAATTAGATCTGATAAGTAATAAAATCACAGAAGAGTTTGTCTAACAATTCCTAGTTTTTAATAAATCAACTAGTGTGGTAATTATTCATCCTTTTATTATTTGAATGGAATGACTTTTTCTACTCACCTCATTAAACTACATTTTAGAACATCCATGATTGTTCCAGAAAATCGTTAACATACCAGTTGCATTTAAACAGTCGGTTGAATTTTTATTAGTTAAAGAAAAGTATCGTCTGTCAGAATTAATATTTTGCTCGAACAATAAGATGTTTTTTAAAATAAAATTAAAACCCAAGTTATTTATAATAATAGTGAAGATATTATATATCTGTTAATCTTTTGTCGCTTGATTTATATGTTAACAGTTCGAGTGCGTTCAATATTTACATGATCTACTTTAGTTCAGAAAATCCATAGCATCATTTCTTTATATTAGTAGTTCAGAAATGTACACAGCATAACGAATCACAATATCTTGATACTACTTAATAATCATGCAAAACTTCATAACCAATATACCATTATCATAGAAATGGATGTGATTTATGTGTCTTGATGTGTGTCATAATGATCTGTGGTGACTATGGTCTATTGTGATGAATTCTTCACTAACACTCAGCCTAAGGTCTATACGAAATTCAACTTGTAATCTTCAAGTTTTGTGATGAGCTAACTTATACTCAACTCCTTAGCTGAATGAAATCCATTGCATCACTTGATATAATTGAGCTAATTCATGATAAGGAATAATGTTACGTCGAATGCTATCAATGTACAATGAAACTACCTTCAGATTAACTAGTTATGTTTTGAGAGAACATTATTTCATCAGAACATTTTGACCCGCTTCACATATACTGTGTTAAATATTCATGAAAAAGCAGACTTGCGTTTCATACTACTCAGAACTGCGGATTCTAATGTTCCCAGGAAGATTTGAGTCGATGTCATCCCGTTTTGAAGCCAGTTATGTTACAAATGAAGCATTTGAAATATAACTGACTTCCTTTAGACCAATGGTGTTCAACTTCATTAACTAATAATATTTTAATAGGTAACGAAATTTCTAGAATGATCGTAAGTGAATGATATCTCCTGAGATTTGTTTGTTTTTGAGAGTGTCCACCTCAGAAACCTGAAAAAGTGAACGATGAGGAAGATTCGAAATATTCTTTTAATAAATATTTTATGTACGATTAAGGATAGATGACAAATGAATCAGTTGACAACTAGAAAATGAACATAACACTTCACAGAATATGAATAGAATATGGATAAACGTGTTTATCAAAAATCAGTTCACTTCTATTGTTTAAATAATTTCCTCAATCAATAGAAAACATTTTCGAAATGGAAATTACATGATAGTCAGTTCCCAGAAGTTAAAGTGACTCGATCAGCGCTAGTGAAATAAATATGTTTGATTATTTTCAACTGGTTTGGGACAAATTTATTGACAGACAGACTGAGGTTTCTTTTCTAAGTGTACATTTCATCAGATCGAATAGTGACCAACTGGTTTTAATGAAAGGAACTAGGGAACCTCAAATTCTATCCCACCAATCAACATTACTAATATAAAAAACAATATAAGTATTGTACTATAGACTGACAACTCATTTTGATTTTTTTCTTTCATGATGATGAATTTGAAGAAAGGCGATTTCATAGTATTTATTAGAATAATTTCACTAGATTATTTACAAAGAGTTTTTGCTGGTCTGCCAGACCACATTAGATGACCTGCTTTATTTAATGATAAATACATGATTAATGGCATAGAACTTGAGGTGAGTTATAAATCATGTAAAATATACTCAATAAACTTCAATGATACTTTATCAAGATTTTATCAAATCTAGACAAAAGTATGTTAGCCAGAAAAAAAAACTATTTGCTCACAATATCATGAATAATGCATTGATTGCTGGAAATTCTAATCTTTCCTGTTTTCCTTTTTATCTAAATATACATAACAGATAGTAGATAATCTAGAAACGATAACATTTCAAAAGACAGATAATTTTAAATAAAAACATGTTAATTCTTTGAAAAGAAGAAGAATTCAGTAACTTTTCTTCAAAATTCATTTCGTCACATAGTAACTCTTTGTATTACTTCATTAAATCCTACTTTAGTTGAAACAAATTTAACAGTATCAGTGCGTTTTACTTGTACAATTGTCAAACATTTTACTAATAATAGACATTCAATGGTTGATGTCAAGGTCTTCTAAACATTTTCATTAATTTGCTTTTGGAAAACTATTACGATTAAAATTTCTCAACGTGAAGTTTATACACAACAGGATTTATTTCTTATCCTAGTGAAAAGATAAATGTTAACAAAAATTTCCAGTAATCCACTAACTTTCACTTATTCAACTAGTTAAATTCCAATATATTGCTGAGTTATTAAAAATATTCATTGTCAGTGCTAAAATCACCAAACCATTTATATGTCGCATACATGAATTTCTTCCTTACATCAATAGTTTATTCTAAGCTTTGATAAGTAATAATATTGTTTATTATTCATAATAATAATTTTCTGTCTTATTTTTGACTTCATTTCAATTTCATGTATTGATGTTTGTCAGACAGTGATTATTAATCTTGATATTCCATGTAAAGCTAAACTATTAATGCAGTTTAGATTAAGATTTTTAAGTTCTTCTGTTGCGCTTACTCTGACAAATATTATGGAAAAAGAGGCTCTGTAGATAAACTTATTCAGTTAGATGCAAAATTAATAGTTTTACAAAATGCTTGCAATAACCAGACACAATTAAGAAATTTGTTCACTACTCAGGCGAATATTTAGATTTTTAATTTAAAAAAAACACTTAATTCAACTTCGATTGCATCTAGCGGCGGAATTCAGGAGTTCGTTTCTATTCCAAGAGGATCATTCATAATCATACAAACTAAGAAATCCTTTAAATAAGATCCGAATCTCAATGAACAAAAAAATATTTTCATTACGACTTCAACTATCATTCACCAGTAGTACAAATCAAAAGTACAATTTCATACAGCAAGTAACTAAACCATGCACAGTAGAAGATTATAGCATATCGACAGAATAGTTATTGCTATCTAAGTTAACTTTGACTAAATTTTGTTATAAATCTAACATCCTTATTACGTGTTATACAGTCGATCGAAAATTGCACTTCATTCCTCATAGTAAAATTATATTTATTTACCCAGTTTATTCAAGTGGTATTTTTCATTTTATTTCTTTGATAAAGCATACAAATTATGTTTTATTTTTAGCTGTCTATTTACTGTGTTGAAACTATGGTTCTGTAATAAAGCAGTTAAAATTTAGACTTCTGAGTAGGATATTCTATTCCTCTTTCGTTCAATCAATTTCAGGAATTAAGAAGTATTTGTATCTCACCTAAAGCAAATATAATTTTAAGCAAAATACACAAAACTGTGCTTTGTTATTGAAGTGTATTAAAATATGTGAAGCATAAAACATAGAAATTATGATTTAAGTAGTCTTAGACCATTAGTTACACTTTGAACAGTTTCCCAATGAAACATGACGGGAGAATGAGTGAATAGATTTGAAATTTAACTGAATTATAACCGATAGGTGGGAACTATTCATTACTTTACTTACTGATTCAATACACTTCTCATTTGTAGGTAACTGTTAGGTATGACATGAATTATTATTATTATTATGAATTATTAATAAGTAAATTATTACATAAGATGGCTGATCATTTCAATCTAATTCAAATTAAGCATATTTATCATTGTACAACAAATATTTTCCCTCTTTTTTACTTTTATTTAGATTCCATTTCTTCTGAAGTTCATGTAACATTAAATCCTATCAACAAAATTAATCATGAACCTACTGAAAAAGTCAAACCAGATTCGTCAACATCACCATCATCATCAACATCATCTCATTGGTCAAATAAATACGAAAATAAATCTTTAAATTATCATATTCCAATAAGTAGAAATTCTCACTCTTCATCAATTACTTTACAGAAATCAAACACTATTGATCATGACAATAGAATCAATGACAAAGTCAATATCATATCCAACAACAATGCTAATGATGGCACAAATATAAACAAATTAGCTTTATGTCAAGAAACAAACACGATAAACTCTACGATCCAAACACGAATGCATGATTTAAATTATTCTGATGATTTAGTAAGTATAAACTGTCAAAAATATTCAAAAATTAAAGTTCTTTTTTTCATTTTCGAAAATTCTCTTTATAGTATGAAAGACGATTATTTATGTATTTTAAAATGAACCCTAATCAATCTAAGCAATGTATTTCATATTAATGCACATTGAAACCGACTAGATAATGAATATTCTGAAAAACTAGTATTATAAACGAGTATGTAAAAAGAAAGATGTTAGTCAAATCAATGTAACCTGATGATTTTGGGCTTGATTGTAAACGAGTCTGTTTATAAACAGTTGAAAATTCAGAAAAAAATGGTTATTCAGTAATACTTAATTTGCAGTATCCTTCTAGATTATGTCAATATGAATTTATACTTGTATACTATTAAGAATACTGTTTTTTTGTTCATCAAATGCCACTAAATAAATCGTGAGTCAATCATTGTCTAACCATCATTGTTAACCTAGAAGCACTGTACGGCCGTTTCGCCCTAGCATCGGACCCTTCGGCAGTGCTGAACTGGCATCCAATGGAGTTCAGTCCTGTCGGGTGTAGAAAGTAACACAGTTAGATGCCGGTTCAGTGGCTTAGATGTCAAACGTTTGCGCGCGAGACTAAAGGTGGCGAGTTTGGTTGCCACGAGCAGGAGTCGTGGATGCCCACTACTGATGAGTCCTATACCAGGACAAAACGGCCATTCAGTGTTTCAGGTTTCTAGCAATGACTGGTTCATGAAAACAAAAAATTTCCATAACTCTATAATGAATACCATTAAATAAGTTTTTATTTGAAACTGCATGTAAAATATTAGGATACATGTTAAACAATAAACATCAATACAAATAATATGAAGTTATTTTACTTTAACGCTAATTCGCATCATGGACTAACTTTATTTACACAGCTGTGATCATAAGCACGTCCGATTTCATTCGACTATGTTCAAAGTAAAACAGTTACTAATAAACAGTAACTGACAATGACCGTGTAAACTCACGAATCATATCAACTTTAAAGTAGGGATCATTAGATGCCTTTAGCAAGATAATGTGTTCTCTTCATATGCTTTGAGATTCTGAATTCGATGAACAACAAAGTTATTGGCGTACATTATTTAGCAGCCCTAATCTAGAATAAACATTTATTTTCATCCCCCATGTTTTCAATGTCTGACTAGCTAAAGTCTTTTTATGGCATAAATTATCTTCAACTGGACCACACCTTTCATCCTAGCAATAATAAGCTTCTGTGAAGCGTCTCTAATATGATACTCAGACAGAAATATCTCTTTACGTACTCTTTAAACAAAAGCCAAGATCGAGAATAATAAGTGAATGTAATACGCATCACCTAAAAATATTTCTAAATTCGCTCAACAGTCTGTTCTTTCCTCTTTAGTAAACTGATTTCTTTCAAATTTTCCTTTTTTTTAATTGTACAATTTTTTTTAATTTATTTCAAAATCAGTAATGTAATGTTTTGTCAGTATTCCTGTAGTCTATCTATATACACTGTTGATTGGAACGTTCGAAACTCCCCGCACTAGACTAATCATTCCTATTTTTATTATTGACGATTACCGTTATAGTGTTTTTATATTATCGGAAGGTGACTGACCAATATTCTGTCTTAAATTAGAACTAAACAAAATACATCCACACGTCTGCTTAACTGTCCAAACGTTAGGTGCTCATTCAGAGACTTGAAAATCTTTGATCTAATCTCCAATGGGACGGTAGATATGCATTACTATGAAGTTTCATACTAGTTAAACAGCAAATGTCCAGTTCTCACAGATTTCGTTTGGTTTTAAACTTATGGCTAGTTCGTGATGCAAACTAAGAAATACAACAATTGCCATAAGTCTCTTTACCAGTTATGAATAGTGAAATTTTCACCTCCATTCAAATAAAAAAATAATTTCAATTCTTTTCGCCATTTTTAGAATCAATTTGTTTATGCTACAGTTTAGCTAAAATTAAGTGATAAAATTTATAAATTCTAAAAAAATGATTTAATTTTCTGAAATAAGTTTTGATAACAGTCAAACTTTAAACGCCTCTCTGATTGTCATAAAAGCATTTATTTTGTATGGCTGATTTCAAACGACCCATATGATTCAGTAATGAACATCGATTTTTTTCGCCCAGCAAAAAGGCATTGACAGAACTACAACTGAATTTTGAACATTTATCACGAGCTACATATTCATCTGTTTTAATTAAAAAAATTGTTAATTGAAAATGTTAGTTAGTTGAAAATAATAGATGATTAATGAACCAAGTTGACTCTCTAAAATGAAACAACACCAACAACCATGGATTGATTAATATTTAAACAAAAAAATGCAATAAGAAAAAAATCCTAATGATGACTAGCGTGAATAAATTTATTTGAATTAGTGAGACAATATTTAATTTTGAACAACAACAACAACAATCATAAAGTGACTGTTCAATAGATTTGTTTTTGGTGTTGATTGTCAAGAATTTTTTAAAACTATTTCAAAAGTAAACTTTTCGGTTAAAAATATAATTTTTCTGATTCAAACCCATAAGTAGACAGGAACTGAAACGTTTGTTTTTAGTTTATCGACATTTCACTTTGAATGGATCACTTAGAATTATGATACAAAGTGTGTTTTCCTCCTATTTATCAAATTATTATAAGGTACAGTTATGCCACCGTTTTATTCTCTCAGAAACTATCTCGAATGAGATTAATTTCGATTGTAATGAGGTAAATAAACAAAGCAAATTGAATATGCCATTCACCGTAGTATAATTTTTCAATTAATTATGTTTACCTCTTGAACAATTAATTGCAATACACTAACGATATTATAATAACACTGATCACAATTCGGTAGATTTTTAAACTGGTCCTTACTATTTCAAACTGAAATCCGCATCACATAATGCTTGAAAGGATAATCTAACCGTCTAAAATATTCAACTGTATAGAGATAACGTCTTCCAGTAACTACTAATGGCATTTCCAAGTAGATAAAGGTTATTATTTCAAACCATACATGAATAGAATGAAATACTGCTTCATCTCATATATAAATATAAATGATAAGGTGTTATTGAAGAAAAGTATAAAACACTGGTTAATTCGGATGCTTATTTATTTATAAAATTCCACATTTCAATAATTTGCAATGAATATTTAAAAGAATTTCCCAATCTTATATAATTGTTTATTTATGTCCTTCACTGAGTATGAATGACTTGTCTAAATAAGGTGCAATTATTGTTGACGGAGAAGCTTTGAAATATGTAAAAACCTTTACGTTTCCGGGCAGCATCACTGGTGAGCACGATGGATTTGATGCAGGTGTGACGGCACGGATCGGTAAATTAAGAACAGCATTTCGACAACTGAAGATCATCTGGAACTCAAAACGACTTTCAATCAACACGGAAATCAGAGTTTACAATACAAATGCCAAAACAGTTCTACTGTGTGGGACGGAAACTTAGAGAACTACCAAAGTCATCATCCAGAGGATGCCAGTATTTATTGACAGTAGTCTACGCAAAATACCGCGGATCCGTTGGCTAGACACCATCAACAACATCCTACTGTGGGAAAGAACAAACCAGTTTCCTATGGAGGGATAAATCAAGAAGAAATGATGGAAGTGAGTAGGACACACACTGCGGAAGGCACCCGACTGCGTCTCAAGACAAGCCCCAACTTGGAACCCTCAAGGTCAAAAGAAAAGAGGAGGGCCAATAAACACATTACGACGAAAAATGGAAACAGACATCAGAAGAATGAACAAAACTTGAAAATAACTGGAAAGAGAAGTCTAGGACAGAGTAGCTTGGAGAATACTGGTCGGCGGTCTATGCTTTATAGGGGCTAACAGGCGTAACTAAGTAAGTACTTGTTCTAAAGTAGCTGACGTTTCAAAATAATGCTGTTTTCCTGACCACCGAAATCCTGGGACTACCGGATGATTTCATCATCATTTAAATAATTTAAAAGATTCTTACTATAGTGAAGTATGTCTTTTATGTCTAAACCTATGAATATAACGATAAGTAACTCTGTGACAAATAAGTGGAATTTCACAGTAACAAATTTTTACATGATCTAACAAACAAAGACACCTTAGTGGTCCTCATTACGAATAAACTATCAAGTTTAAAATAACCTATAAACCGTTTTACTGAAAGTATGTTACTTTTATTAAATCCATTTCGAATCCCAGTGTGAATACTGTTGAAATACTGAACAAGATAGTGTTTTGTGCTATTGGTATTGACAACTGGTCGATTAGACTAAGATACGAATTAGTTCGAATCGTGATGTGCACAACAATGCCGCTTAGCTGAGTAAATGCATTTAATCAGTCCTGCATAAAAAGAGAGGATGTTTTTGTGTCACTCCGCTGTTTAATTTATCTCTTTTAGTTATAACACATATGCATATCATGCATGAATAATATCAGTTAAGGAATCAAATTAAAATGACTATGAATGTTTTCGGCATCCGCCTCTCATAAATTTTCTACAAAAAAAAGTAATAGAGAAAAATAATTTTAAAAATAGTTTGCAAATTAAAAGAAAAGAATATCATCTTCGTGATGATTTGATGATAATGTAACATTTTTAAGTGGAACTATTTTTTTTTATCATGTTAACAACTATCTCTTAATTTGTTCTACTTTACTTTTACTTATATGTGTGTCAGGAACATGAGAAACACAAAGAAAATTGTTTATCATAGAATATGGTCATTTTTTTTCTCAGATACATGTTTATATTTGAGTTTCCTATACTAGAATAGAATACTGTTTCATATTTTGAAAATTCACTGATTCTTTTCACATCCCGTTTCACTTAACAGTCTTTCCTTAGTTATATCGTGAGTATTGAAAGCAAATTCACATTAGTATGAATAACCTAAGGAATTACAGTTGCAAGAACAAAAGGAAACAATGTTTTCTAAAGAATTTTTTTAATGGAATCATTATCATTAAAGTGGAATTATTTTAGGCACGCATATATACATATATATAGCAACTGAGATAGTTGCTATTCAGTCTCTACAATTAGATTAGTAACTAGTTCTTCCGGTTTATCGGTAAAAAAAAATGCTTTCGTGATTGAACATTTTTTTTATGGATTTTGAATTGTTTTTGTTTTTTGTATTTTATCTTTGATAATTTTAATTTTTAGCAAAAGTTTCAATTGAGCATTATAGTATTTATCGTGTAATGTCTCTGGCGAATGTTTTTTTCTTGTTTACCTAAATGAATATTTGAAGGTTTTATATGGTTTTGTTGTCAAATAGAACTGACATCAGCTGAGGAATTATCGAGATTCTAGGACTATATGATGAGTATATCGTATAGGACTCCTTAATAACGCTGATTAACAACTATAAGTAAGGCTGAACTCAAGATTTTAACGATGCCACTTGGCTGCTGGATTAGAACTAAGTGGCAGAAATTTCCAATTTCTGTCAATCATTTACATAGAATGATCTCCAATCAAAACTATTGACACTCACTTAAAGTAGGCATATAAAACTTTGACATGTTTGATAGTGAAAGCTTCATCATAATCACAAAAAGTTATAACTTCATTTCACGAACACTTTCAGTTGTTTGTGGTACATTTCTGTTTCCATTCACAAAGCTAGTACATAAATAAGAGTAGATTGAAGAATTGAACTTTCAAACAATCCGGAAAAAGCTGTCTTTCAATGGAAACATGATACAAGTGGTTACAAAGCATTTTAACTAAACAGTGGTCTTTCTCAGATGGTAGTTAGTAATTTTGGAATTATGCTTACTTAAAAAAGGATGATAATTAAACTGTTTTGTTATTACTATGAGTTTGTGAATTCTTATTTTTGATATTCAGTACTGAGAATAATCCATCTTTGTTGCCATTTGTTTATACCAAGTAGATTGCCTAGTTTTAAGTTTGATAAAACCTTGTATATGGTCTGTCATTAGAATCATGGACACGTGTCTCATTCCATTTGGAATTCGTAAGATAGATAAATCTCAACTCCTGTGTTGATGTTCACAATATGTCGTAAATTCATGTACTATCACTTCAGACTTTAACACGTTATCCTATGAGCTACTGAGTATGAACATCAACACTAGAATATAAGTCATCTAACTGACGACTACCAAATAAAATGAAATGAGCAACATGTATTTTACTGTTAGATATTTTATCCAAGTTACTGAAATTAGTTAATTTAGTAGTTTGGAAAGATAAAAATACATTGTTTTAACTAAAACAATTCTAGTTTGCTTCAATTAATGTTTCATCAAATGTAAAAATGTGAGCCGTAATTTAACAATATTTTCTTTGAAAAAATGTTAGTATTTAGTCAGTGTAGACCGAACAGTTTGGTAAGGAGTCAAACAGTTGTACTTCAGCTTTCAATTTCTTTTTGGGTATTCATTTTCGGAACTAAAAATATCGAACTCATATTTTGATTGATCGTAAACAGATTATTCGACAATTGTTTAATTTCAGTTTATTAATAAATGATTAGATAGTTGAAAACAAACGATAGAATGCTTTAAATCTCGAATAAGTTGTTTGCTACTCATTAAGAAAGTATATCTTTACTCTAAATGTTAATGATCAGTCCTTCCAGCTGAAGGCCTAATTAGATATGATGAGCCAGCTCAAGTTGACGCCCAGTAATTTCAGGATGTCAACAGTACTTGTCTGCTGAATGAGAACAACATTCTTGAGGTCGATCGAATTCCATAAATCCAAGTGTAATATGTTCACTAAGACTGTATGTTTAAAGGAAAATTTTTACTTTAGGGAGCATTGTTCTACTCAATTTCGCATGTAAGATCCACAGAGCAGCACTGAAAGAATGAAACCTGGAAATGAATTAAAATGTAAATTGCTTTCAGCCAAATAAATCATATAATGATATTGGATTTTTCACCCGACTGTTCAGACTGCCATTCACTCGGTAGGATTTTATGACCATGATTTTGCGTAGTAGTGAGTGTGCAATCGGCATTCAGTCAAATAATTCGCCACACGTTATTTGAACAAATTTCAGTTTCACTTTAATGAAAACTGTTATAGAAAAATATGTGTTCAGAAAACTAGTACAGTATAATCAGTCACAATTTTCAAAGGGATTGTTTGATTATATTGAATGTGAGATTCTCCTAGTACTGTTTCTCTATTTCACGTTTTCTTCTTTCCAGGTTATTTAGGTTTTTTAATTTGTAACCAAATTTTATTCATTTTTCTTTACATTTTTAAAATGTTTAGACTCTAGACGAGAACAGTGGAATATCAACATATTCTAGTGCTCATTGTTTGCACCAATTAAATCCACAACAACACCAGCAATACACTAATACAATTGTAAATAGTGATAAATTTCCCCAAAATCAAACATTGAACAATTTAAACAAATTTTTTGGTCATTTTGACAGTATATCTCCTGTACAAAGAAAACAATTTCATTCAACTTCCATTGATAATTACATAGACAATGATGATAATCTGGAAAATGATTATCATAAAAGTCATCAACTGATGGGATTATTTACAATGTCCAAGTTAACTGATAGTTCACCGTTTGAAATGAAATATCCAAATAGTTGTTCTACACAACAGCATTTGATCCAATCACAACAACAATCACATCAGCAATTGTCACATTCCACGCCTGTTTATCTTTCACAACGAGAAAATTATTCTGATTATGAAAATCAGATTGCTTCAACAAATAACTTACAAGCTTGTATTCAATCAAGCTTTACTGGTACTACTCATACAGCTGACAGTAGTACATATTCACAATTAGAAGATTTGAATTTAACATATGACAGTACTGGATCATCTTCAAATTTATCATCAAATGAAACAAGTTCAGAATGCTTAAATTATGAAAAATACAATGATATTCAAAATAATAACAATAATAATAATATCGCTTCCAACACTAATCTAACTAATACTATTAACAGCTGTAGCGTCGTAATTAGTGGTCATCACAATAATAATACTGGAATTTGTAGTATATCAGATATAAAATTGCCATCAAACAATTCATGCCTGAAACAAAAACGTCATCGTACACGATTTACACCGAATCAATTGAATGAATTGGAAAGAGCCTTTTCCAAAACACATTATCCTGATATATTTATGAGAGAAGAATTAGCTTTACGAATTGGTCTTACTGAGTCACGTGTACAGGTAAGTAGATTTATAAACAATGTTTTCTAAAGTAAATGTATTTACTTCTAATCATATTTATTAAACGACGATTGTGAAAAAGCATTCATTCCGCAAAACTATAGTAGGTTACTGGTTTCTGAATAATCACAACACGTTGTTTTTCAATCCTAGGTCAGGATTAACAAACTAAATATTAGCTATAACAAAGTATGGAACTGATACTTTGATATATCACTATTTTGTACCTATAATCCATTGAATCAGGAACGAACTTTAAAAACCAAAATGAAAATATCATAACTAAGTATAGATATTTTTTTAAGATTACTATCCCATATGATTATACAACCAATCTAAAGTGGTCTGTTGAAAACAGTTTATTTTGTTCCTGATTTGTGTTATTTAAAATAGTGTAAATCAATTTCCTATTAAGAAAATATTTTAAACAAATATATGAATATTAGCATTTGTATTGGGTTGCTTCTTATACTCTTTACAATCATTTGTTTCGACAATTACAACAAATATTTGATCAAACTTATGTGTTGCTTTGATTCGAAACTCTAGAGTGAACGATATATATATACTTAGGGGGTCTTGCTATTGATAATGTTATCCTTATTTTACCGATTCGGCATCAAATTTCTATACAGTTTGGAGACTGTTTTAACTTCATTATATGTGAGAACATATATATCTATATATGTATTTCAATATTTTGTCTCTCATGAGAGCATTTTGATTGTTACAGAGTATACATGAGAAAACATTTTTTTAGATTTTTTAGTAAAAGTGTGTAAACTATAAGGTTAACTAAGAATCATGTATTGTTTGATCTAAAAAATGAATTGCTGTATGATTCCAACTGTAGTCAGTGCGAACGTCTTTTAAAAGTGAATGAAATGGCTTTCTCATGATTTTGTATAATATGAAAGTGATTGTAGAATAACGTAAGTTTTGAGTACAAACCACTAGGTTATAATCTATTACCTCAACAATTTTACAACCACCTTGAGATTATGAATGCAATTACTATGTATTTGACTTGTGAGAAGCCTTAAACCAATGTTCAGGGATTTCTTGTCTTCTAGGCCTTATCATCTGCTGGCAGCTGATGATGTAAACCATCATTATTTTTTTTCATGAGTTCTAGATCCTCATAGGGACATTTGAGATGACTTGTGAGTATATGTATATTTTCCAAAAGACTTATAGGGCAGAATGAGATAACACTATTGGATATAACCAAAAGCCCTGTTTTTTTCGCGATAAAATTAATGTTCGACCTACTTGATCTGTATTCACTTCTTCAGTATATTAGTGCATACTACACATACATTCAATGTACACAAGTACACAAATATCCAAGGAAATACATAAGCACTGATCATAAGACATAAACCAAAGCATCTCATTTATATATAATCGGAGCGTAATATAACTATTTACACACTATCGAACATTGAAATAAAAAATTTCTCAAGTCCATTTCCTTCTATACATTATGTGACCTTATAGAATAAAGTGAGAAAATAATAATAATAATAATAAATACAAAAAATATTAGGCAACAAAATCATTAGCACAACACATGCATAATATGAATAGTCAAATAAATAAATCATTTTTGGAGTAAATAATAAAAAATATAATAATCACTATTATTATCACTTAAAAGAAATTAAGTGATAAAGAAAAAATTAAGAATATAAGAAATTTATTTCTTTCTCTTATGGAAATTCTTCAATTTTCCATGGTATTTATGTGTATATATATAAATATAAAATAAAATTTATTATCAAGTGAGAAAGTTTATTTATTATTAAGTAGTATGTAGATTTATATATATACACGTATACACGTAGAAAAGGCGAATATATATATATATATATATATATATATATATATATACATTGAACGATTCATTTCACTTAAACAATCAGCAGTTACATTTGATTTTTTACGTGTAAACCTTCTTCTTAGTTTTCTTGTTTCTGTTTTATTATTTCAACTCTCTGTATCCTTCACCTTAATTTCACTCTTCTCACTTCAATTTCATTTTCTAATATATATATGCATTAGAAAAATTTGTATTTATTGTGTGAATTTTTTTTCATTATGATAAGTTTATCATTTCTTTTTTAACTGTTCCCATTTTTCTCTTTTTTTTGAGCGTTTTATTTTAATAGATTAGATAAGATAGACGAATAAGTTAGAGTAAACAAAATTAGGAGGAAATAATTTCAGGGGAGTTAGCATTTTTTAAAACAACAATAACAACAAACAATGAAATTATCACTTTGGTGAAGAGAAGAAAAAAACACATGAAGAGCTTCACCTTATTTCATTTTTTTTCTGTTTTGTGATTTTTACTTCATGCTCCAGACCACCACCAACAACATCATCACTTGACTATCACTAGTAATCATAACAATACTAATAGTAATGCGAATAGTTTCTTCTTCTTCTTATTGTTGAAAGAAAGTTGAAGACGACACTACACAACAACGAATATGAAATCTGTTCTGTTCTGTTTGTTTTCTATTTTTCTTCTCACTTCATATTGTGTTGATTGTTTGGTCACACGATGATTTTCTATCTTCTTCGAAAAATGGTAGCATTATTGCATGTGGAAATAGGCAAACACAAATAGTTAAGGTGTAACACTTAGTATTATTATTATTATTATTATTATTACTAGTTTATTAGTTCATTGTGGTAGAGCATAGAATGCAACAACAGTCGAAATCACAATTACTATAATAATAATATTGATAGTAACAGTAACATGAACAAAAGGCAATCAGTTCATAATGAGCAAGTGTTAATGAATAGTTGCACACTTATATGAAAACATGCAAAATATTTATGATACAAAATAGAAAATAACAGAAAAGAAATGAAGAGAGAAATGTGAGAGTTTTCTTTAAAAATAATGATAATAATAATAATGCACGTAATTATATCATTAAAAAATAGTATACATTTGTTTGAATATTCTGTTAAAAGTCAATAATTTTATACTTTATCACTTTTGCCTATCATATACATTTCAACACACCCTCTTCATTAAATAAGACAAAAAGTATGCTTTCTATTTCAATTTTATCTACCATTTGTTTGGTGACGAAAGTGAAATAATCTGAAATTTGTAATAACTATACATGAACTGACAAAACATTTGTCTTAATCTAAATGTAAACTATTGCTCAATCATCTTTTAACCATTCAGTATGCTGTTGTTATTTTTTCTCAAAGAATTAGTAGCCTTGCATTTTACACAAATACAAAAGTTTCATTTGTTGTTTGCATAACCATTCTATTTAGCCAGCTATCAAATATGGGTATATTGCTAGACAGTTTGCTCTGCATGGAACCCCTGAAAAGTTGAGGATATGTGTTGACTGCTCAAAGATGATAGCATTAAGGAATGTGTAACTATTCAATATATATATATATATATATATATATATATATATATATATATAGTTTTCTAAATAGTCTTAACGATACAAAAAGCTAAATTTACATCACTTTTCATCTCCAAGTTGATATAAATATCTAGACTGAATTATAATACTACCAATATATATACAGACGGAAATTTAAACGGTAATTTCAGTAATATATAGTTCAAATATGTGAACAAATGTTATGCTTTTAATTTGATTTTTAACTACTATGTAAATTAATTTATGACGAAGTCAATATAAAAAAATTACTAATTTCTCCAAGTATTATTAATATTTTTCATCGCTAAAAATTTATTTATGGTTGAACAATTGAGAGTTTATTTAAATAATGAAAATAGTCTTCACTTTACTTCTGTTACTAATCTAAGATGAACAACATTTAAAAATTCAAGTTTATTAACAAGCAGATTAATTTATTGCTTTATCAATATACTCAGAGCCCTTTTCTAACTTAATTGTTGCGAATGATGATGATGAGTAAAATGTAAATTCTATTAACGTTGTACATAATATTTTGATGAACCTCATTGAAACAAGCGTGGTTTTTTTTAAATAAAAAATTCGACATGTAATTGGAAGAATATATTTTGTGGATTCTATAGGCAAATAACCTGTTTGAGCGAAATGATCAAGTGAACTTTAGGGTTCTACCTTATACCGATTCGCTGAATAATTATGTATTTTAGTTTACATAGTTATACATACAGTAGGAGTGCAAACAAACATACAGGCACGCACATGTATATTTATATTAAAGATAATTCATGATGAAAAGTCGCGAATAATTATTCATGAATGCATACACTATAACAAATAGAACTAAAATGATCAATGCAATAATCACATGAGTATTTTGTCTTCCATCAATTCACATATGTACTTTAAATCAATGCGTTAAGTCAACGTATAATAACGCCTCTTTATTTGACAAAGTTTTTCAGGGTAAACATGCAATCGCTATTTTTCAATGTTCTAACCTAAAATTTACTAGTATTTTTATTCTGATAAATGAATATTAAAAAGAATAATTCGTTTTTGGAAGTAAACTTTTAAGAAAAATATGCGAGATGGTTTTGTTCACTTTCATCAACTATCTTAATAGATATGTTAAATATGACACTATTTTTACAAGTGTTGATTGATTAACTTTTTAAAATATTTGGCAAACATCTACCTTGTCCAAATTCGAGATATACTTACTTAATGGTATTTAACAGATTCTTAACACTTGATTTCCGTGATCTTTACGAATTTATGTTTAAGAACGTTTCAATCTTTACTTTTACAAACTAAAGATCATCATTACAGAATGAATCCCATTCTGATATTCTTCACTGAAAACTAAGAAGCATTGGAGCTTCATGCTAATACGATACAGTTGGCTAGTGAGTTCTGGTATTCAAAAAAAAGTGGTCTAATTAAGAGCAGCTCATGAAAATTTTAACAAACTCCACAAAACCTCAATACTAATAAAGATTAGATGTTTGAAAACTCGCCTCATTACAGATATGTAAATGAAGAATATTCTCTTCAATAAATTCTTTA